ACCCCCATGGTGTCTGCTGCATAAGAAGGTACAAAAAAGTATGTTTCAACAGGTGCAGAGAACTGATTAGGCATATTTGGTCACTAGATGAGATAAAGAAAGGGTTAGAAAGAGGAAGGGCCATGATAGTGATGAGACAGAAACTTTCTATTCATAAGATGAAACCACTTGTCTGAGGTTTACTTTCCCAAGGACAAGAGTTTCTCTTCTGAGGATGTTTTATATATAACACCGGTCTCTGATAATATGCTTTTCTTAAGTATCGCTGATGTGACTAAAAGAAGCTTTCATACTGTGCCAACCAATGATACATGACCTTCTGATTTGATCTTTGTTTAAATACTATATAATGAAGTAAAATATCATCAGATTCCAACCACTCTATAGTGTGTTGTGTCAGTCTGTCATCACTGACCTTGTGCCTTCCTGTGTACCAAGACCCTGCTTTTCCCATGGTCTGAGTGGCTCCCCTGAGCCAGTTCATGGCAATTATTATCTAGGTTCCCAGGCTTTGCAGACATGTTCACATCATCCAAGGGCTTTAGATTAGATGAATCGCTTTAGGCTTTAGGCTTGTCTCATGATCTTTCTCAGCAAAAGCACAATACCTTCTTTCATGTGTTCTGCCAGCAGAAGAAGTGGTCCAGATTTAGGGTGGATTTTCCTGCTTCTAATAATCTAATAAAAAAATACCTCACTGAATGCCAGCAGCCTGGGTTTTAGTTGATGCCTGATACAGTCAAGTTAACTCTCAAGTGCCGCCACCACAGTGCCCAGTCCCTTGACCTCCTGGCTATTCTTACATGTGACCTCTTGATTGTCTAGTAACTAAGGTTCTCTACAGAAGGGCTTCTTGATGAAAACTCCCATCACATCCATGTCAGGTGAAGGGACAATCTGTTGCCTTGTTCTCTGCTCCATTGTGAGAACCTGGAGGAGCAGGTAGCTGGTGCTAGGTGTTTAATACAGTTGAACAGGAACCAGTAAGTAAATAAACAACTTGATAAAGTGACACAGTGAGTAACTCCTTAAACTTGCCCCATGTGCAGCCGGACTTTGTCTGCCTAATCTCTGTCAGTCTCTTATGATGACCACAGGAAATCCTTGTCCCCATAGTGTCCAGGATGAGCCCAGTTCTGTGACTCATCTGCATTTGCTGTCTTCCACATTCTGACATATGTGTCTGGTAGAGACCCTTTGAGTGGTATCACCTGAGAATGAGCCTCTACACAACACACTGCTGAGACAAACAGGTGCTTATGTGAAGGTCATTTATTTAACATCATCACCTAGGAAGATGTCTCTGTGCAGCCATTGGCTAATCAGCAGGCAGCTCTCAAATCACCTGGATGGAACTAAATTTCATTTGTCTCACCAAGCTCCCTGTAGCCTAGGGAGATTTACCAGGATTTTGCCAAGGGAGATTCCTGGTACACCCTCCTCCACCAACAGCAGAAAAAGGACAACAAACAAAGCAGTCAACCCTTCAAGAACAACAGGGGAATGTGCATCAAGCCAATGGAGGACCATGGTGTTCTGTCTTCTCCTGAATCTTGCCAGGATGGACCTAGGATCTCTCCAGCTCAAGGGCTGTCTCTGTCCTGGACAATGGTTTCTGCCTTTTCTGGAGAACCTTTTCAAACAGACCTGATGACCTTTCTCAAATTCTTCCAAGGGGTGAGATGTGGAGGAGGTCAGGGTGAGGAGGCAGGAGGTGGAAGGAAGGAAATGCTGCTCACAGGCAGCAAAGAGTTGCAAGCCCATGGTTCAACAGGCATCACCAGATCAAGTTGGGAATTCTCTTGTTCCAGCCATGCTGTGGTACTAGAGAAGCTTCTAGAATTCTTTTGACAAGGAACAGAGGGAAGGTTGGTAGGGACATAGGTTCTGGTAGACATACTGTGTTCTCCATCATGGAGAACAGTATTTCATGTGTGAAGTCTGTGAAACTCATAATGTCCAGAGCTGGAAGGTTCTCAGAAAAGCTGGAACCAGAGCACCCAGAAAAATGTATACGAGAGATGATCATGTGAAACCCCAGAACTCAGGTTGAGGTTCTATCCTGATGAGACCCAGACAACATAACACCGGGCAGTGTAATCCAGTAAGAGGAAGGACCTGTTACTTGGGTCAACTTCTGAGGTCTGGGCCTTGACTCTGCAGCTGAGGGGAAGTATGGAGATACTGTCACAGCCTACATGGGCCTCAGCCTATTCTAGCCCTGGGTGGACATGAAGTGATATGGGACCTCCTAGAGGATCAGGGTGAGGCTTTCTGTGGACAGGGGTCATCACCATCATCGATCCATCTTCCAAGAAGTGGTGAAGGGGGGATGGTCCTTCAGGTAGGGGAGGGAAGTTCCCACCCAACACTACTCTTAGGTATGATTTTTTTATTAGTTTATTTTTTTGGCCAAAGAAAGGCTTGACATTTCTTCAAGGTGTTTTGTTTCTAATCTCCATGAATAACTTGGTACCATGTGGATCATGAAGGATGGAATAAGGGTGGAGGCTTGAGGTCTGGGGGTAGAGGTTTGGAAAAACTGGGCTGAGGTCCAGGGGTGTGTGAAGGAGGTCAACACAATAGAGTCACCGAGGTGGAGAGTGTGGTGGCTAAAGATCCTGATAGAGTGGTGTAGAGACTGGTTCTGGGTGTTGAGACAGGACAGGGGATGAAAAACTAAAGATCCAAGGATACATGTCGAGGTAGAACTTTCAGAGAAAAAAAGTACTGAATTGGCGTATATGGTACTAAAATTAGGCATCAGAGACACAAAGTATCCTTGTAGGAAGGACAGACGGATGTGAGAGTAACAGGCTGTGGTGGCTTGAATGAGAATAACCCCCATGGCTCAGATCTTTGAATACTTGGTCCCCAGTTGGTGGAAATGTTTGGGACAGGTTAGGCGGTGTGGCCTTGTTGGAGGAAATGTGTCACTAGAGGTGGACTTGGAGGTTTCCAAAGCTGATTGCTTTCCCAGATAGCGCTCTGTCTACCTCCTACATGGATGAGATGTAAGCTCTCAGCTACTCCTTCAGCACCATGACTGTCCACCTGCTTCCATGTTCCTGACCATGATGGTCATGGCCTCACCTCTGAAACTGTAAGCCCCAGTGAACCCTTTTTCTTCTTGGCTGTGCTGGTCATGGTGATTTACCAGTGCAATGGAAAAGTAACTAAGACAAAGGGCATAAGGGAGGACAGACTCTCAAAGAGAAATCAGAGATGAGACCAGAGAGAACAGATGCACAAGGACCATGGCAGACATCTGAAGACTAATTGACACAGCAAGGTTTCAGAAATACAGGCGAACCAGGGGTGGAACCAGCCATGTGAGAGTCAGCCGGAGGGGCAATGTAGGTGACACCATGACTTATGTGATGTGTTTCGTGTTTCCCGGGGCCTTTTGTGTAGACCCATATTTCTCTTTGGTATGGCAGCCAGGCTCTCAATCCATGACCACACCTGAAGTAGTCACATACCCTTCCAGACAGGCTGTACCTAACCTAACAAGGGATCAGGATGTTGTTTTGACCCTTTCTTTGTAATTTGGAGGATTCCTGAGAAGAGGTGCTAATTCAGCCTAT